CAATTCCCGCGCGTGCGCAGGTGACGACCCCCCGCTTTAATTTGTAGGTACTCAGCCTTATACAAAGAAAGCCATTAAATTCAAACAATTTAATTACAATAGTCAAACACTGCCAACGTCTGAACCTATTAGTAACTAGTGTACAAGTTACTCTTACATTGAACCCGGACCAGCTGTTTTACAACAAAATTTAAACACCTCCAACATCCTGCCTTCCATACACAACTTGTTCCTGGCAATTATTAAACCGCAAAATCAATCAGGCAATAAATCAAATTTTGTTCAAATAATGTGACAGGAAAAAGCTCTAAAATTTACAGTTACTTAGGAAGAAAGTTGGACTCGATCATGATATGACTGCCATGGTATGATACATTTCTTGCAACGGTTCTATGCAGCTAGTAAATGTTCTATCCCAATTGGGAAGCGATATAAAATTCGATATATTTTTATTTCTAATCATATAACCAATTCACTGTACAGCAAAATGCATCAGAACTAGTATTCGATCTATGATTGTGAATTCCTCAACTGTGTGCATGATTTTCAATTTTCACGACAGTCCTCTAAATTATCATACGTGTATTCTGGTGAAGTGTACCTGTTTATAATAATAGAGGGCGTCGCATTGTGACGTCATATGTTGCCAACCAGCAAGCGAATGAGTTACAATAAAAGTCGCTCACTGATCAACAATGGTTCTCGATCTGTTCTGATAATATTGCTCATATAATGCTTTAACATGGACATGCCCATGAATATCTAATAACAAAAGCAGCGAATAACGCCTTTACTTTATCTTCAGGTGAGAATTATCACGGGGGTAAAATCTCTCGGGGTTCTCCACACTTGCCAGGGGCGAAACTCGTCTCGTCTCTCTATCTCGTCCCCTTGAGGTACGGGATCGGGAAAGTCAGTTAAGCTTTACAGTCAAATAAGACACACACAACGAAATACGTTTCAGCTCTCGTCTTAGTCGGTCTTTCGAGCACTCTATAAGACACGGCGCCCTGGGGAAAAGTCCCCAAGACTCTCACAAGGCTGAACCAAGACTCGCCCAAGACTGCGTCAAGGCTCGCCCCAAGTCTCTCCAGGACTCGACTCGACTCTCTAGGACTGCACTCTCTCTACTGCGTCTATCGTGCTGTGCTCCCCAAGACCAACTCAAACTCTCTTTATTCATTTTCAAAACTCTAACCAATTACAAAGCAGTAAAAAGACTCTAGGGCGTAACCTTCAATCATAAAGCCAATCACACTAAGTACTGAATACGTCATATCTTTTGATTAATCGTTCACTACATTAATAACTATGAATATCAACTGTCAGAATCGCGACGGATATCTCGTAATTAGTTCCAAAACACTGAGCCAAGTTCCGTCCAAAACTTCAAATAGACCTAAACGATGACAGACATAACACAGCAATTCGCTAATAATCAGCTAATTAAGTCGGTCAACAAATACGCGAAAACAAATTCATGACAGAATGACCGGTTTTCGCAACCAGTCACTGCGCACGCGCAATCATTACATTACCAAATTTAAGTAAGTAGTATAAATAAACATTAACATATAAGGCATACAAAAAAAAATCCTTTTCTTATGTTCCGTTCACCTATACATTGTACTTTGTTTTTTTTAGATAATGAACTATTGTAGAAACGAGATATACTTTAATGGCAAGGCCTCATTGTTTTCACTATAATAATTAATGTGCTCTATATTCTCCTGTCAACTTCGGTTTGATCATATATCCCGTTAAAAATTTATTCGATCACTTTAAAAACACAATTGATTAAGGTTTGATTTTCAAGTGTCTTGTCTTGTAAAACAAGCGACTGTTTTTGACCGTCTACTCAGCACTGTCAGTTTATGTCGGCCCGGAACATTCGTGCTCGTTCGACCATGTTCTCTCAAACGGTCATTTGGGGACTGAAGTTCGGCTCCGCCTCATAGTTTCAATGCAAACCGGACATTATTTAAAACCTGAAATATGCCTGGGAAAGTCAAATTCTGGGGGGGGGGATTCAATACTGGAATCGCGCGCATTCTCTAGGAAAAGGGTACCGTGAGAAAAAAAGTGTGAAATGTGCAGCTGTCATTAGCCCTCAAGACACCAATGGGTTGTAAACACGGCGATAATGCCTGTGCATGATAGTGTAGACGAATTTGGCTGTGTACTGTCAAAACAGCATACTCAGTTAACGACCGAACGTGACAAAATAAAATATCTGGTCGAAAATTGAGGTACATGTTGTCGCTCATAATTCCTCGAGCTGTCAATTATCTCTGCATTCTATCTACAAGTGCACAATTTTACACAGATTTATGGAATATACGCTAATAGTAACATACTTATCTGCATTCCTTCTTATTTTTGGCAGGAATTATCCCAGGGGAAGACAAGATCGCCGTCATCCAGGGACAGAAATGACATCAGTGGGGTCATAAGATAATGTGTTTGGGAGTCAATGAAGCGACTGAAGTGGATGCCGTAAAAGACGAAGGGTTATAGATTAATTAATTGATTGATTGATTGATTACCAATGACGGCACCGTCGCGAAAATAACTAAAAAAAAAAACAAATTAAAATCAAATGTCACGTGGTCATTTTGTGTGACATGATCTTATTATCTGTATAAAGTGGTCTAAATGTTTGGCGCCTCGGGTTGTCTCCGGTCAGTTCGCGTGCCAGGATGTGTGGATGCGATGAAACACACGTGGCGGGCGATGGAGCAAGCATTGTCACGTACCGTAGTTCAGGCATATGGAAGCCTTGCAAATTATAGTCAGTAACGACCCATGCAGCCGTAAGGATTATTTAATTGTGACGAACGTGAACCGTGATATGTTAGCTACACGTTTTCATGTATCTTCATATACCTACTGAATAAGGTTGCAAGTTATATATATTCAACGGACTCATTAACATATGGTCGCCGCGTCCTGGATGTTTCAGTTAACAAGAATGCGTTGAAGTGCGGGGGATACAGCTACGTTATAACATGAATAGAATGACTCAAAAGACAACTTTATTTCTCCTCGCACCCGAATAATTTGGATATTTATACAAACAATCCATGGATCTGCGATCATGCCAATATCTCGGCTTCTCATGTAAGCACATTACGTACAGAACACTGAATTAATAGCAATCAGCCATGAATATGTAATAGATACACAATAATGTATGGCAGGAGATGTGCATGGCCAAACTTAATATTTAAATTTATCTTCCACATTTTTTCCCAAACTTTTCATATTCGCATAAGGGGGATATACTCTATGGATCATGAACTTTATTATACAAAAATCGCAAAAAGATAGTTTCCTATACAAGATAAGAATGTGCCTATACTTTATGCTAGAGGATCACTGACCAGTTCTTAGCATTATATTTTTATTTTAAACGATTTAAGGACAACGTGTGAATGGCATGGCGAATGTAATGTTTATATGTAATTGTTTTTGACATTTTTTTCTTCTGGAATAAATTCACAAATAACAACTTTTTCAAACTTCAGACTTTAATCTCAACCTGTGTTGAAAATAGATATATCGTAATTTACAAAGATTTAATCATAGCAAGTATCATGATTTATATACGGAAATTGTTGTGTTAAAATATTTAATATGGATTCACATTATGAAACTGGAAATTAGAAATGTTAGATTCCGTAGAGTAATAATCAATATAAACAATATGTTGTATTTTGTTGAATGTAAACTCGTATCCCAATCTGTCACTGTGTAATAGCATTGCCGATCTGGTAATAATCCAGCCTTGTTGAGATGACGGACAAGAAGCCATTACAGATTTATCATCAGTGTGAGAACGTGATTAAATTACTGTTATTTGCAAGTAATCGACACATGTGAATCATTACTGAAGTGACGAATGCAAACACCTGGAAACATACATCATTCCGTCATTTGCAATATGCCACCCGGTGGCGGCGCTATACCGATAAATCAGTGGAGTAACTTGATGAATGGAACAAGATTTGAGGAAGGTTAATGTATAGTTACAGCACGGTCCCTCAACACTGTTGAGGGACTGTGGTTATGGCTTGTATAATAATACAGGGTTGCGTTACAAGGACATATATAAAAGCAACCAATTAACTAAACAATTCTAGAACAGTATAAACATTGACTGTATGACCCAAGTAAATCGGATTGGATTGAAAACAAATACTTAATGTTGATTCACATTTCAATGAGATACATTAAACAATCTGTTAATTCGCAGTCCCTCTATCACAGAGGGACTGTTGTTAATTGCAACTGGAGACATGGAGATGTGGCAGCTACTGGTATTTAACATCTTACCCAATAAGTCAATGACAACATTAATTATATCAGACATGTTGTTTCTATATTTGGTGTTCCCACTCACTAATTACTATGATGATATATGTACTCATGCATGATATCGTTTTTATTAACGATGTATAAAAATATCGTATGATGCGACCCTCAATGGAAATTGTCGGCGAGTACATTTGCAAAAAGTATTATAACTGCTGCCTTCCTTGTCATTGCAAACCAATCGCAAAACTTATACTCTGGCATAAAGTAATTTATCGTGATACAACGCCATCCACTTGCAAGCCCAACACATGACATCATTTACATAAATAGGATACCACAATACGCGTTAGAATCGTTCTTTCATTTTGATACACGTGCAAGTCACCCATATGTCACTTAACAGTACGTAAAACTCGCAAAAAAGAGCGTCGTTCGATAGACAAATGCATTCCTGGCGATAGCTTTCTTCTCAGTCGCGTGATCTAAAGGTAAAAACAAATACGGGGTTTTAGATTGCCAATGTGTTTTCATTGCTCACCGAACAATAATAATAACCGTTGGCCACGATTGGGTAATACTGTAACTGCATTAATTATCAAGTTCACTGATTTACAATTTCCTTATTTCGCAGAATTAACATAAAAACAGTGAAATAAATTAAATGTCAATGAAAATTTACAGTGGAATTTACCAGTATGCCCTCTAGCAACGAAATGCTTGTTTGAAAAATAGTTTGTAATTAACAAATCTCCAAAAGTACTTTTAATGATTGTCGAAAATGCGACATCTGATTAAATAATAAGTTCCAATGCTGCTCACATACTGAAGCGTTCAAGGATACCAGGATCGGAGAAGTCGTTGCAGTTTACTTTGCGTAGGGGTGGTTATTAAGTGAATAACTTATTTGACCTTCCCTCTTCTAAACAAATTTGTTCTCGAGATCTCGCCACTAAAATTCTAAGTGTATATTCCAAGTATTTAGCTCACTTTAAAGATTTATTCACAGTAAACTAAATACACGTGTTCATACTTGCATTAGATTTGATATGCTTCGTGCTGTTATTGACACAATAGTACCCTGACGTAATATATTTCACCACAGTTATAGCTTGTTTTCTGTCATGAGAACACAAACAAAAAATATATACAGAATACATACTCACTGGGTACTGAACCGGGACAACGTTTCCAGCATTGACAGAGTCAGCGTTTTTGATTCTAAATCATTTAAGCAATATATTTACATCGAGTCATGTCTAAACGACTTGCGACTTTCAAGTTTTCACTTCGTCACCTAAACGAGCATATACACGACCTTACTATCTCGGATTGCGCCCTCAATGCTGCAGTTGTGTGAAATAAGTAGTCCACAGAGAGTGGTAATTCAGTATACCGACTGAAATCGGATATTCTAGTCATGAAAGGGAGAGGATAATATTGGTAAAAAATAAACATAACACATAAAATTTGCAGATCAGCTTTGCCGGGTCTAAGTTCGAAGGCTGAATATGCCTAAATATGTACCCACTAATACACAAGTTATATTTCTCAGATGATGCTTTGGTCATACAGCGGTGATACAGGCTAAACGCAAAATAGCAAGTTGATCGGTTAAAGCATTCATCAGACGCAAATGCCCCAAATTGTGTCCATTTTTGCTGAAATTCAAAGATGACGGCCAAACCATGTCACCATGGTGATCGATTAAAAGAGTCCAGAGAAACAAATGCCCCAAAGTGTTGGCAATTTATGCGAAAATCCAAGATGGCGGCAAAATCACATGACTCATCATTATTTTGTTGCTGTGACCAATCAGAAAGAGGTTCGCAGGCGTTAATGAACATTATACATATATGCTGAAACAAAATATGATCAATTTGCTCAGTGGTTCTGAAGAAGAAGATTTTGAAGTATTTTTGTGTTGCCACAAACGTTTTATTAAATGCTACTACGTAAAAATCTGAATCTCTCGATTACCAGAAAGAGTTCAAAATTGATCACATCCTGATTATTTTCAATCAAATATGGCTGCCAAACCAGCCGCCGTTTTCTGCCACTTGTCACCACGATCCCGAGTACCAATCCTCTAAACATTTTTGTTTTCATTTTGATAGGAAACATCTATACAAAGTACGCCCACTCTGTTAACCGCGGGAAAATAATAGCATGTGTAACTGAGAGGGCGCTCACATCAATTTTGGAAATACGGTATTCGTGAAAGTTAGCTTGTATGTTACATGGCCACAACATCAAAACCACTGCTGGCTTCGGAATATTGTGTGCGAGGTTCATCGTGCAGCACGCGTTCAATTTATTTTCCACAAGAACTGTCGCGACTGTAAAATTACTTACAGAAGTCTCAGTAAATACTTAAAGCGGCGCCGGAATTGAGTCACAACACACGCTAAAAACGCAGAGGTTCATGGGCAGACGCTTGTGTGTAAACAGCGTCACACCATGGCCGTCTACCGCATGCGCAGGTGACGACTCCCCCTTTAAAAGGTAATGTCATATAATTTGTCGAGACATACGATCATAAATAACATCGATGTTTCTGTGAAATATAGCGGGTCTCGCCTATGTGATTTAAAGGGCGGTAGTCGTCGCGCCACACATGCGCGAGACATATGGGTCTCATATAAACAAAGATGGCGACTTTGACTGTTGCGCAGATCAAGGAGTACAAACTGAGAGTTTACCAAGCTTTAATTAGGTATTTTTAGGTGATTGGAAGGTATCGACGGTATAGTGAAGTCCCGCCCAGGTCAAACCTCATACGCGTGATTTCCATTAGAAGAGCGCACTGGATTGTGGAAAAATCAATATTTACCAACACAAATGTCGCACGTGCGCAGCGCGACGACTGCCGCCCTTTAAAATCACTCGAAAACATCACTCAATCTGTAAAAACAACAGTATATAACTTTCAACATCGATTGCGTATTTCGTGTCAAGGAACAGTGTTAGCTGTGAGTCAACGATTACAAGCGTACAAACAATAAATACCGTGTCCAAAAACAAGAAAAGTCACCTATCATCGGCCATAGCAACTCACAAGCACACATGTTTATTCTTAACCTCTAGTCAATTGACATTTGGCCTGAATACTAATATTTCTCGCTTGAAGATGTCATCGCCTAGTATCATAGCAAAATTCAATGAGCGCACATTTCAAAACACAGTCACATAATTTAGTCGCATCGGATTATTCTCATGAATTTGCAAAGATATAAACATGTACTAGACAGACTGTCATAATTATATTTTTTTACGGTAGCGCCATCTATCATCTAAACAGAGAGAGTGTTAGTTGTGATGAACGAAGGAAGTGTTTGACTAGCTTGGGGATAATGTACGAATGAGGTTTCTGGGTCAAAGTAACGGGAATTTGTTTAAATTGACCACAAAATCTTACTCGCATTCTTTCAGAACTACGTTTAAAAATCGATTATTATGAACACTTCAATAAGTAATAGATATAAAGTAGATTCATTACTTCA